TATGGGGTGATTTATGTATATGTTCTTGTGATGCTGATTGTGTCCATTTTTTGTGATTTTCAACCAGTCAGGGTTCCAGAATGGGGTTGCAAATTAGACTCTTGAAAACAAACTCGGAGGATGTATTGCGGAGGATTTTCTCGTTGTGGGAGCTTGTGTCAAACCTGCCACCATGGGTTCACGACCTGGCAGGAAGTCGCCAGATTCAAAGGCTCGCACAGCTGCAGTTTAAACGCTGTTGGCTCATGTCCATCTTGCTAGGCCGTCCACTTCTGTACAAAGGGCAAGTGTAGCACCCAAAATATCCTCGACGTGGAAAAGTGCATTCGCACCGTGCCCTGCAAGCATCACTCTACGCACTCTACATGACAACTTACAAAGCTCGGCCACCATGATTTGAATATTCGTATGCCCTCATGAAAAGACATAGTTTTTCATCTTTCCAGGCCACGTCCACACAGGCATGGAAGCCTAGCGGCGCACATCGGCACTTGTCCACGGAGTCGTGGCGCATCCGAGTCGCGCATCCTGTGTCCGAGGTTTGCAGAGTTCACCTGAACGTTTGGCAAATCGGGAGCGCCTCTCGTCCTGTGGAACCCGGATGGCCCCGGGGTGCACCACTTTGGCCGCAAGATGGATTCTGCTTGCACGAGCACCCATCTGAGGCCAAGCACCACAACCTTTCCTAGACTTTTTGTTGGAAAAATGTCCTGGAAGAGTCCGCTGATGCTTGACCACATCTAAAATCAAAAAACACATCCTGGGGGATGAAAAAAGCGCTCCACAGCGACATCAAAAGCCGCATTCTGCTGGGCAGCCCATGGAGGAAAAAAGGGGCATGAGCTGTCAAACCTGCAAATTGAATCGGCGGCATTGCCACCCTGACCCTGACTCCTGTGAATGTAGAGAACTATCCACTGCGTTGACCCACAGGGTCAGAACATGTGCCCAGGCGTTTGGGGAGCAATGTTCGTCACCCCTGATTTTCAGCAACCGCATACTTTGGACCTCATGAAGCTCTCACTGAAGGCACCTGGGCATGCCATGTGCCGTTGCACTGCTGCTACTGCCGCGTGTCCAGCACCGGCAACCATAGTGCGAGAGAGGAAGTAGAGCGAGAGGAGAGAAAAAAAGAGAGAGAGAGAGAGGGAGCGACGGAGCGAGGGAGGGAGGGAGGGAGGGAGTGAAATCACTTGAAGGGACATGACCGCACTAGAACAATGTGAGACATCCTTCGGAACAGCCGAACTTCCAACACCACGGTGTGTTTAAGTCCCACCAGGCTGGCTAATCCAAGAAGCTAGCCTTGGCAAAAGGAAACTCCGGCACATCCTCGTCCAGGAAGACATCCAAGCGCATGATGGGCGATTTGAACCTCATGGGCTCATGGCAATCAGGATGCGCAACCTTGCTGGTGAGACCCAATCATGCGGTCTGCTGGTCCCTGTGCGCTGCTCTCCACCTCGTTGGGGACAACATACTTATTTGTGAAACCGTCTCTCAAAGCACACAGCCTAAATCCTGTAGCATGGAGCTACTAGGTGGAGGCCATCCCTAATAATGGGTTGGAGGCCACTACTAGTAACAAGAAGCTACTAGGAATAAAGGGCATCGCTAGTCTCACAGAACAAGAGCGTTCGGGAAGTCTCGTCTCAGAAAGCGCTGGTGGACCTCGTGGCCAGCCGTGGCCGACATGAACTCCGTCCTTCAGCACGGCCCACCACCCCTCCCATTGGTGTCCCTGCTGCGGAGAACGCAGGGCCTTAAAGAAGCGCAACGTGGGCCCGATGTGAAACCATAGATCTCAGGAGTGACACAACAATGTAACAAGGACCTTCGCAGATTGAATATAGAGGTGGCACTAGAGGCGGCTTGGTGCCCATAGAGATCAAATGTTATGTGGCAACTTGATCGCAAATCTCTGGGCAGCCCTTCCTGCAGCATGCACCCGTCGGGAAGGCGGCCTCAGGCGGCTAAAGCAGACAAAAATATACAGCATACAATAGTGTGTATATATATATATCTTGCAAAAAAAAACTGTGGCTAAAATTGGCTGCCCCGAAAATTATTAGTAAATGGACAAAATGACTAAGACATATGAGCTCATATTAACCTGGTCCCCTGGTCCCTGAGTCTTACTTTTTGAGCCACATCCATTTTGCTGGATTGGTCTACTCATCTTTGAAGGTCCTTTCGTGCATGCCGTCACCCAATTGGACTCGACCCCACATGTTAGCTTAATGGCTAACGATTTGAAGAGTGGAAAGAAGCAAAGAAGAGTCAGCACTGAAGTCATTGCCGAAGCAATGGCCATCGCATCAAGAGCCTGACTCACTTCACGTCAACATCCTGTCACTACCCAAACCCCCGAGCCTCTGCCGAAGTCACATACAAAGCCCAGCTCCTGATGACCCCAAAGGATCTAAGTGTCCCATCCCAAAGGCCAAACCTATCCGAAAGGCACCTGAACAGTGCAACTTGTCACGTGCATGTCCAAGCTGGGAGCTGGTCGCAACATCACCCTGCACAGCTCCTGTGCTAGGACCGCATCCAACTCCATGGAGTCCTCAGGGTACCAACCTGGTGCGAATGCCAGTCAGCCGATTCATCTGATGCTTCAGATTCGACTAGCTCCGCTAGTCACCAGTGGCTAGTCGGCTAGTCCTGCTTCTCGTAACACCTATCCAACATCCCAAACTTCACAAGTCTTCACGCCCGCTCGAAGCTCATTCCTTCAGCCAAGCAACTTTCCGTCTCCACTGTGTTCTTGCTGACCTCGCCCACGGATTTATCAACCACGATGGGCTAGAAATGGTCAGTTGGATTTAGATAGTGACTTATGGTTCGGCTGAAAAGAAGTTTTTCCTGAGGACTTTAGGACACCAAAATCTGTGACCCATCAGCCGACCTTTTTCTTGTGGGCTACCCAACATCGCAGAATGAAGAGATATTCGAAGTAGCCTACCCCCCAAAGTCAAAATGTGTTTTGGTACCTTTAATGAGGCGGCGCCTTTAACAAGGCCCCCTTGAAAGGAATCTTATCAAGGGTGCTCAAACACCCTCCTCGCCACCCGCCTCGCGGAGTGCTTCGACCTCTCCAGCCGCGCTGTCAAGGCCGTCCCCGTCACGGCTGCGCGCATCCCCTGAAAACCAGGGCCGCGTGGGCACCGTGGGCCGCATGGAGAACACATCGCCAGCGAATCCATGCGAATCCCAGACCTGACGGACCTGGCATCAACCTCCATCCTTTCCCTGCCAAGAAAAAAAGCCAAGACATGCACCTCCCAAGGAAGCATCGAGTGAAGTCCTAGGCCAACTGGGTCTTGAAAGCCCAAAGGCTCTTTCACACACTCTCTCTGTCTCTCTCTCTCTCTCTCTCTCTGTGCAAGCTAGCTCTTGCTGCCTGCCCTCATGAGCCTGCCAAAGAACCCATTTCTACTAGCCTGCAAATGGTGGGCCATGGCCCAGCATGCCCCAGCTGCCAGACACCCTCAGGCTCCCTGCCAGGCAAGCCGGACCTCGCTGGCCTGGCATGGAACCACCAAATTCTGACGAAGGCCTCGCTGGCCTGGCCTGTAATGACTCATTACATGACCAAACTCCTTCTACCTGTTGAAACCTTTGGAAGCAGGAAAGGTGATTCGAGTGATTCCTTGATATTCCTTGAACCCTGCACATCAGCATGAAACCTGGGACCAGCAAAGCCATCAACCACCAATGTCGCCACATTCGTCAAATTCCCCCATTTGCATCGATTCCACCTTGCTCTTCTCGCCCGACCTGCAGCTCATGGCCACGCAGGTCGAACTGGAAGTATGCCTGTTTTATTTTGAAGTCTTAGGCAAACTTTGTCCTTCACCTTGGAGCAGCTTTCGGCCCTGAATGACACACAGAACTCTAACTAAGGCCAAGTCGACGCAGCAAACCTTTTCGCGTGTATTGGCTCAAAGCCACTTGAAGGCGGTCTCTTGTGGTCTTTGGGTCCGTCACCCGACCGTCTGAAACAAGGAAACACTAGCCCCATTATGTTTTTGGATTGATTTGATGATTCGAGTCTGTAGTCAGGCTGTGCGATGAATGGCTTCTGATGCCACTGCCTGCATGTCCCATACGAGATCAAGCAATGGGCTGCAAACGCTGAAGCTTGGGCATGTTGTGACATGCCTTAATTATGTTGTGCCTCCTCATCCGAATGGTTTCATCCCACCTTCGTTCTCTTGGACTTCCCCCCTCTGCTGTGGCGCTAATTAGGCAGGTGGAATCCATTGAAAGCGAGGTTGGGCACAAATCCAGCATAGCAGTGGCTGGATGAAAAGCTGGATGTGCAGGGCTAGGTCAGGTCAGACATGCGATTTGCTCGATGGTTGTGCCGCCGTGCCTCCAATGTTCCGTGCAAATCAACATGATCACATCATCTCTCAAACCCGCACATCCCGTTGAAGGCAAGACAAGTATTTTGCCTTGTTTTCGGAAGAGCATGCTGTCAAACAACAGAAGCGCGTGAAAAAAACATGTTCGCTCCTTGTCCTGCCAGACTCTAGGCAACCTTTCTTATGCTAACGATTTGGCTACTGATATCCCAAAGTCCAACAACCATCGTCCAAATTACGCAATCTCAGTGTTAAAAATGCAAATATCTAGTGGTATGTGCGTGCTGAAAGGTTCCCAATCATGCCTGGCAAAACCCGGATGCACGTTAGCTCAGCCATGTCATTCGACAGGCCTTTGGCCGTCCCGTACTTTGAGCCGTTTCTCTTCGGCCACACTGCGACATCCGCTCTGGCGGCTCATGCTGGCGAGTTCGATCAACGTGAGGATCGGTTCGGTAAGGCCGTTCGCCTAAGCAATCCTTGGTACGCTTGGAATCTGTGCACCTGGCCAGTATGAATTGCCCAACTGCCGCCAGGCAGTTTGCCCACATTCATTGGAGGCTGCAGGCACTGCTAACCGCTAACCAAAGCACGAAACTGCCAGTCCGAACATGATCTTGGACAACCCACTAAGAGCCCCAGAAACTGTGGGAACGTGTTGCCGCACAAGTCTGACCCGAAAGCAGTGCAGGCAGCTTTGCTTCGGCAAAGCGTTTCATTGCAAACACGGTGAGACCTGAATTGACCTCGTATCTTGATCGGCCTCAGCGCACCGAAGTGTCGTTGTGCTCGCTTCAGCATGACTCTGTCAGTCGGCAACCAAGTTCCCAGCCTTACTTCTGCACGATCCTGAAACCATCTTTGTACTTCTCGTGCAGCTGCTTAGCTCTCTCCTGCCAAGACAAAAATCCACATGCAAAGACAGTAATATATATATATATGTGTGTTTATATAAATATACATACACATATGTTGGAACTCACACACACAACTGGCACGCAGTATACATGGCTTGAATCCAGTCAAGGCACAAAGTATGTGATCTCTGGTGGAAACCAGGACTGCAAGCACCTCCTTAGTATCCAAACGAGGTTTGAGGTATGAATGGCAGTTTTCAAACAAACTGCCAGAGGGACAGTCGGCCCGACCCGCAATTCACCTTATTCAATTGTCAGCTGAGTTTCTTGGCTTCCTCCTGTTTCAACATGGCCTGCAAGATGTCCTTGGCGCTCGCATGGTCGAAGTAGACATGCTGAGGTTTTTGAAGGTTCGGCGATTCTCTGCTCATCGCAAGAATCGAAGCAAGCATCGCAAAACAAGTTCGAGTGCTTCGAGGAAACTGGAACTCTGCAGACAAGTAGCCCACCAGCCCTGGTCTCTCACTGGCCAGACAGGATTAATCGGAAAAGCATAGCCCTCATGCACCTTGGGGAAAAACAATACCTGCAGAGACACAAAATGATATATATATATACCTGAGAAAGGAGAGGACGAAAGCCAGCGAGAGACCAATATGGTAGTAGTGCAAGACTGGGAGGAAAAAATAGCGGAGCACTTATTGTTGAATGCCTGTAGCTTTCGTGGAGCTTGTATCAACGCGGAGTAGATCAAGATCGGAGCACGGCATGAAGTGTTGAGTGTTTAATGTTTTGGGTGTTCTCGATTTTCCTGGCGTGGTGCTCTCTGGAGCGTCCCTGGTTGGTGGTCTACTTGAGAATCCGTGTAAAAATAAACGACAGTGAAGACCAGGAGAAGGATGCCCGAAAGGTTGTTTTTGGTTGTTTTGAAATGTGTTTCGGGCATCGTGCATCAATGCGAAGCCCTATAAAGAGCAGGGCTGGGAGAAAAAAAGAGGAGAGCACTCATTCTTGAATGGTTGTAGTTTTCGTGGAGCTGGTATCACTGCGACGTAGATGAAGATCGGAGCGCAGCATGAAGTGTTGAATGGTTTTAGTGTTCTTGATTTGCTTGGTGCGGCACCTTCTGGAGCGTCCCTTGTTGGTGTTCTATTTGAGAGTCCGTGCATAAATAAGCGTGAGTGAAGACCAGGAGAATGATGCCCGAAATGGCTTTTGTGGTTGTGTTGAAGTGTGTTTCGGGTATGCCCTATAGAAAGCAGGGCTGGGAGGAAAAAATAGCAGAGCACCTATAGTTGAAAGCTTGTAGTTTCGTGGAGCTGGTATCACTGCGACTGAGATCAAGATCGGAGCACAGCATGAAGTGTTGAACGCTTGCAGCTTTCTTGCTTCTCCTCTTGCGGCGCTCTTATCCCCAAGCCTCTACCTCGCCCAACTGGACATGCTTTCACTCTTTGTTGCTTGGTCCTTCTTGGTATGATCAGAGCTACGCAATCCCTATGCCCTGCTCAGGACTAGAAAAATTGTCTCCAGACCCTACTCGGCGTCCATTGCATCACTCGCATCACCAGACCCCATTTTCACTACTTTTCTGACCCTCGCTTTGGAGCGCTCTCCTCAGCAAGCTCCGGGTTCACCCTCTCAAATGGTGCCTTTTCGCACCTTCCCCCCCCCCCACACCCCCTTAACTCACTTCGTTCGCTCTAAGAGCTCAAGCCTAGCCTATCAGCTGGCTTTCGTAAATATATATATATATATTTGTTTAATGTACGCGCACAGAACATTATTCACCACTTGGCTTGATTCGCAAGCAAACTTCCCAGAAAGTTGGCTGCAGGGCCTGCGAAGTTCAAAAAACGCGTCAGTTGGGCACTCAACCCTTTCTACCAAGCGCTGGGCTCGCTCCAAGAGGAACTCGCGCAGGCCGGCCTGCGAATCACAGCATGGCGATTCAGCGCGTCCATTATCTTCAGTGTGGTGTTGTTGAGTATTGCTGCTTCTGAGAATGGGCGCCACAACACAAAACGCCGTCAATGCCCGTAGTAAATAGCATTAATTAGTGCAATTGGCTAGTGGACTGGGCTTTTGCTGTGTTACGAGCAGGCCTCCGTCTTGTAGTCCCAGGGCTTTCCAGTGAAGCCTTGCCAAACAATCAAATATTCATCGTCCAGCTCCTGTCAGCAGTGCCACTTTCCAAAAGATCTGAATTGCGACACATCTGAGCTAGGTAGTGTGGACAATGGAGGGAAGGATAGAAACAGGCTTGGGTTTGGTCAATGTTCAGTTCTTGAGCAGCCACAACAGCTCTACTGGAACTTACAGGCCCAAAGAATGCTCACAGTCATCCACTGAACACTGCAGAGTCTGGAGCACTCCTGCGGAAAGTAGAGGTTGCAGCCTGGGGCGAGCTCCAAAGCTGGTGACAGCAAGGGCCCTTTTGAAATGACCAGAAAGCATGCGCTTAGGGGCTGGGGACCCAAGGCTACCACCACAACACGACGGCTGCATCTCCCATTCGCTTCCAAGGTGCACTCCGCTCCATGACGAACTGCGCCACAGGGTGCCGTTTCAGCAATCACCTCGCAGACGTGGTCACACACTCCTTCCCTCTATATAGTGCAACTCACCGGGCTTCTACGGGGCTGTCTTGCAGGTGAGTAGCATCCTGGATCAGCGTGTACCTGGGCAAAGCAGCCACAACATGGACATGCTGGTCCAAAAAATGCTCGTTTACTGCCGCCGTCGGATCCGAGTGGTTTTGGCCACAACCTACTCTGAGGTCTGAACGATGTGGGATCGCCAAAACCAAACTTTGGAATCCTTGGGCAACAAGGGATGGGTCAGCATGTGATGTGACTCACTTCTTGCTGTGTTCAAAACTCATGAGACTCAGACGAAGGGCGCTCTTTTGTGCGCCTTCCCTCTTCTGATGTCTTAAGGGGCGCCCAATGGCCTAGACCCACCACTTGCCCTGCGCCCAAGCATCACTGGATGGAATCCTCTCTCATTCTCCTTGGCCAGCACTTCGAGCCACCGGGAGTTCCAGCTTTGGTGATCCAAGGACTTGAGAATCCCCTGGCGGACTCCATGGCTGAACCAGTGAAGCTCGCCCCAGAAAAAAAATAGACTCCATGGCCTCTGGACCGAACGTGAGGGGAAATCTATACAGTCATGACAATTAATTACAGTACACCCCTTTTGGTGCAGGGTGGCAAGATCCACCGCATCTCATGGAAGAAACGAGCAGGTTCATGGCTCCACACAGCGGGGCTGCCTCCGTGTGCTCCAACAGCCAGAGAATGAGCTGTGCCTAGCAGCAACCGCTTTGACGACTATGGCCCACGGCCCTGTAATTTGAGCTGGACAGAGAGGAACTAATTCTAAACTTAAGGATAGACTGCGCAAAGCAAGCCACAAAGTCCTGCTTTTGTTTCTGTCACCCTGGGTACCCCGCCTGCTCAGATGGCAAGGACTCATAGACCATGTTCTTGGAGCCTACGGTGAAGGTGTCAAAGTCTGAGACGACCTCACCAGCGCCAAGATCTTGGCTGGCGGCTGGCAAAGCTGTAGATGCTGGAGGATCCGGCCATCATGATGCTTGTGCATAGGCTAGGCTCTTTTCATTCGGTTGGACTTGATCGGTTTGGTTCGTTTTGGTGCATCTCCCTTGGGCCGGTGCTGGCTTCACAAAGACCTCCGCATAGGCGATGAGCAAGCCACGAGGATTCCTGGGCACACGTGGCACCCAGCCCTTTCGTACAGGTAGGTTGAAACAGTTGAAACTGAACCACGTCACTATCCAACATTACCCAACCTCTAACCAGCACCTCTCAATTTAGGCCCTTTTCAGCTTCTGTCACATTTGCATTCGCCTACAGTATTCGCATCGCCGCTCCAAGGGCACGGGAAAACTGGATTGAGCTGGAGAAGGCAAACTGCTGCTATTTTAGAACCCCGCGTAGCAGAATAATGGTCAAGTCTTTCATACATACCAGGTGAGCTGAACCTCCAAATCACCGGGACGATTCCCAGTAATCAAGCGGAGGAAATCATCTGCAGTCAGGCTCCCTGAAAGAATTGGGTAGGAACATTCAGCCAAAGGTCATGATATCTGCTTCATCGTTCTGGTACAGCACCACCTGAAAGATTCGAGAAACCCAATGCGGATACGTAAATATAGATATATATATATATATACACAGTATATCATATATCCGTGTGTGTTTGTTCAAGGCTGACTGGATAAAAACTCTCTCCACGACAGACTTAAAGACAACATCAGCTTGGCAATGTCCATTACCGATGAGGATGGATTTCCGTTCATCCCAGCCTGCGGGTCTGATTTGCCACGAATGGCATGCCTGCAAGCGACGCATTCAATTCATCCCCCAAAAAAAGCATGTCCAAACGCCTACAGCATCCCATCCATAAAGCCGCCACTCTGGCGTGTCAAGTAGGGTCTGAAACAGCCATCAAGTCCGCAGTAGCAATTTAATTACGCCAAAAATGACCCCGCCCCAGAATAGGCAACTGCAATCTGGAAAACCCCCTGCTGCATCAAGCCTCCGTCCCATCCTTTGGTTTGTTGCTCTTTTGCTTTTCTTATCTCCCCTGTCCTTTTCATTGCTTTATGTTCCTTTTTCTTTTGTTATGTTCCTGTCCTTTCCTTTCGTTCCCTTCTTTCCTTTCTTGTCTTTCATGTCTTTGCTATACTATAGCTTCCTTCATCAGATCTGTGTTTTCCAAAGAACAGCTATGGAAAAACAGCAGCTCTCTCGTTATATCGCCTGAAAGGAACATCGGCTTGACAAGCTCGCAAACTGTACCCCTCGTGAGCTGTTGCCTTTCCTTCGTTTTCCTTTCCTGTCATTGTCCCCGAAAACGTCTACAATTAAAGGCAAGCCATCCGGACCTTCTCGGAGGGAGTTCTAGTCGGGTCTTGAAATACAAATTTCTTGCCCGTGCACGGGACCATTCCACCAGTCACGCCATCTGTATCCGATCCTTCCAGATTGATATCTCATGGATCCAAGTACTTCACTCAGTGGCTCAAGCTGCGGATCTCTGAGGGGGTGACAACAAAGGGATTTCGTGATCCATGTCAGTCGATACTTCATCTACTCGTCCCGTGAGGGGAATATTGGATTCCAGCTGCTGTGTCACATGTTCGGAACTGCAGGATTGCCAAGGCACAAGTTCATGTCCATGAAGGCCGGCTCAGAGCGTCGTCCAGTCTCCCAGCCCATGACCTCACAAGAATTCTGGAGCTGTGGGAGGGGACCGTGAAACGCGTGAAATCTCTGGAAGAACGCCAAGAAAGTCTTTGGGTGCTGAAGTCCAGCCGCTAAGACAGAGAGAGGGAGAGAGAGAGAGAGAGAACCCCACACCGTGGGGTGAGGCGTGACTGTCGATGTTAGCCTTAGGCTTAAGCCTTAGCCTTAGCCTTAATCCTTAGCCCCTTAGCCTTAGCCTTAGACTTAAGCCTTAGCCGAAAATAGCCTTAGACTTAGGCTTAGACCGTAGCCTTAGCCTTAGACCTTACCTCCCCTACCCCTCCGGACCTTTGTTGCAGTGACGAAATCCCGGCCTAAAAGCGACCTCAGAGCGACGTGATTGCGACCTGGATTGTCCAAGATTCTGCCATCCCAATATATTTACATCTTGGGGCACCCTCTCCACCCGCGCGGGAAAACAAGCACGGTCCAAAATGGTCCCGGGCTCGAATCCCGGGCTGGTCGCGGCGCAGTCCCGGCCAATGCCCTTGCTTTTTCGTAGATTTTGTCACGTTTTCTGTTGGATTTGTGGGATTTTCAAAGGCTTTTCTAGCATTTTCCTAGGAATGCTCTAGGCTTTGTCTGGATTTTGTTCTGTTTTCGGCTGGATGCTTTTCCTAGAATTTTCTAGCGCTGACTCTTGTTTTTAGGTTCCCAGATTTCCCCCAAAAATTGGCAACCTTTTGCTAACCTATGGAACTTTCAAAGGCTTTTCCAATATTTTCCTAGGAATGCTCTAGGCTTTTTCCAGATGTTGTTACGTTTTCGGTTGGATGCTTTTGCCAGAATTTTCTGGCGCTTCCTCTTGTCTTTAGGTTCCCAGATTTCCCCCCAAAATTGTTAACCTTTGGCTAACCTATTTTATGCCAGTGTTCCCGGCCAATGCCCTTGATTTTTCCTAGGAATACTCTTGGCCGCACTTAGATTTTGTTACGTTTTCGACTAGATGCTAGGAATGCTCTAGGCTTTGTTTATTCGGGAGGGTGCTTTTCCAAAAATTTTCTTGCATGTCCTCTTGACTTAGGTTCCCAGATTTGCACCAAAAATTGTTAACCTTTGGCTATTATGCCAGTGTTCCCGGCCACACACGGGGCCCCTTAGACAACGACAGGATTATCGTGAAAAAACAGAGTTTGGCCTGCGAGGGGTCCTCGGCGATAGAGTGTGCCTGGACAGAGGGACACAGACGCGGACTCGTCGGTGAGGAACGCATCATCATCACCACGGGGTTCATGCAAGAGATCACGTATGGTAAATCTGGGAGGTACCCAAAAAGTCGACTTTTTGGGTACCTGCTTTGGTGGTGATGGGTTTCAAATGTTGGGCCATGATATCTTTTATGGGGTGAAGGGTTCAGCATCACGGGGTTCATGCAAGAGATGACGTCCGATGGGTACCTGCTTTGGTGGTGATGGGTTGGGTCACCGGGAAAAACCGATCGATTCAGCACAAGTCCGGGCGCGGAGTCGACTTTTTGGGTACCTGCCTTGGTGGTAATGGGTTGGGTCGCCGGGAGAAACCGATCGATTCAGCACAAGTCCGGGCGCCGATACGTGTGGCATTTGAATGTACCCTAGACCATGGGCAGCGCCCTGCGGCCCCACAGGCCGCAGAACCCTTTGGTGGTGCTGGGTTGGGTCTAAACTCTTGGGCAATGATATCCTTAATGGGGACGAGGGTTCAGCATTACGGGGTTCATGCAAGAGATGACGTCCGATGGTAAACCTGGGAGGTACCCAAAAAGTCGACTTTTGAAAAAACAGAGACAGTCCTCTATCGTGGAACCCACCTTTGCAGTTTGGCCTGCGAGGGGTCCTCGGCGATAGAGTGTGCCTGGACAGCAGGATATAGACGCGGACTCGAACGCATCATCATCACCACGGGGTTCATGCAAGAGATGGCGTGTGATGGTAAACCTGGGAGCCTGGGAGGTACCCAAAAAGTCTGACTTTTTGGGTACCTGCTTTGGTGGTGAAGGGTTGGGTCTAAATTCTTAGGCAATGATATCCTTTATGGGGAGGAGGGCTCCGCATCACGGGGTTCATGCAAGAGATGACGTCCGATGATCAATCTGGGAGGTACCCAAAAAGTCGACTTTTTTGGGCACCTGCTTTGGTGGTGATGGGTTGGGTCACCGGGAGAAACCGATCGATTCAGCACAAGGGTGGTAATGGGTTGGGTCGCCGGGAGAAACCGATCGATTCAGAACAAGTCCGGGCGCCGACACTTGTGGCACTTGAATGTACTATAGACCATGGGCAGCGCCCTGCGGCCCCACAGGCCGCAGAACCCAACGCGTCACGGGGTTCATGCAAGAGCTGACGTCCGATGGTAAATCGGGAGGTACCCAAAAAGTCGACTTTTTGGGTACCTGCTTTGGTGGTGCTGGGTTGGGTCTAAATTCTTGGGCAATGATATCCTTTATGGGGAGGAGGGTTCAGCATCACGGGCTTCATGCACCTGCTTTGGTGGTGATGGGAGTAAACTCTTGGGCAATGATATCCTTTATGGGGAGAAGGGTTCAGCATCACGGGCTTCATGCAAGAGATGGCGTCCGATGGTAAATCTAAGAGGTACCCAAAAAGTCGACTTTTTTGGGTATCTGCTTTGGTGGTGATGGGTTGGGTCTAAACTCAGGTGTCAGGCTAGCGCTACGGCCGAGGCCACTACCTCGTCTGCGTTTCGTCCGGTGGCAGCTCAGGAACCTCTGCGTCTTTGCTCGGTAGCGCGGTCTCCTCTTGTGAGACTTTCCAGCCAACCACATGGCACAAGCACCCACGGAGCAAGAGCTTTGGTCGATCAATATGATCACTCAAGAGCATAGGCATGCCCAGAGCTAAGGGCACCAGCCCGGGCAGATCTCCACACTCGCGATCGTGTCGCTGCAGAAATTCGACCTTTCTCTGCGCTAAATGGGGGTCTGTTGCCAGAAGTTCCAACGGTATCTGATCGTGTGCAAAGTTCCAGAGCAGCTGCAGTCCGCGCTTGGCGGCGAAGGCTCGTGCACGGTGCTTGTTAATCTCTGCGCGAACGTCGTTGTTGGGGACAATGACTCGGGTGAACTCATGCTCATCGGACTCCAATATTCGCGCTCCTACACAAAATTGCACTTCTTCCCATGTGAGTATCTACAACTTGCGCGTCCTGGGCAACGCCCTGGACTCAACTCCAGTGTTGCTTCTGTCCGTGCTTCTACTTCTCGCGTGGGTCCGGTCGCGTGGTCACCGCAACACGCTTACCGTTGGTTGTGCAGGCTACGACCACCTCGGGACTCGACCCAGGGACCAGCGCAACTGCTGGAAAACACCTCGCACCACGCGCGACGGCACAGCCACTTTAGAAAATCCCGGGGTGGTCGCGGCGCGCCGTGCGCTCTTTCGCTGATTGCGTTTACTGTCTACCATGGGCAGCGCCCTGCTCCGCCACGGCGCGCAGAACACAACGCACCCGACATGGGCAGTAAGCGACGCCCTTGCGCGCCTCGTCCTGCTCCGGCAGCCGTCGGCTTCCGCCAGCCTGCCAAAAAACACTGCGCGCCGGCGTCTTCCGCCTACGACAACTACACCGAGCAGTTTTCCATGGACTGCACGGGGGGACATACATGGGCAACGCCCCCGCTGGCTGACGCAACTGAGCGAACACCATGGGCAGCGCCCTTCTCCCACGAAGCTTTGTCACAAAACCTACCCCTGGTGGTCACCGAGAGCATTCCTAGGAAAAATTACGGGCATTGGCCGGGAACACTGGCACAAAATAGGTTGGCAAAAGGTTAACAATTTTTGGAGGAAATCTGGGAACCCAAAAACAAGAGGAAATGCTAGAAAATTCTTAGAACAGCACCTGAATTGTACCCTATACCATGGGCACGGCCCTGCGCCGCGGCTCCTGCCGCCCAGCTTCCTTTTTTTGCCTGGCTCAACCCTGCTGCGGTGGACCATGCCCTATAGACACGGCCCTCGACAGAGCATCTATCATTCCAGCTCCTCTAGTATGCTGCTCCGTGGGCCTGGCCCCGCAGGTTCTGGACGACAAAGCGCCCCCAGGATTCCGACAGCAGCGAATGCCTCCGCCTGGGGGCAGATCCGCGTCCTCTGCCCCTAGCCCACTCCTGCAGCGGCCATGGGCAGCGCCCTAGACACTGCCACCTCCTCCACATTCCAGGCCACGATCCCGCTCCACTGCCAGCTTCCTGCTCCAGCGCGTCGTGAGCCCCACTTGCGGCTGCTGGCGGCTCATATATCCCATCGCCCGAGCTGATGTATATTTCATGGAGGCCACTCTCGCGGCTGAATTGTAGCAGATCTGGACACAGTGCAGCATCGTCTCCTCGGCCGCATCCTCCCAATCCGTGCTGCCTGTTGCGACCGCCTTCTGCACCAGACTGTGTCTAGTCCAGATATCAGCCCCCACGTCGCGAAACATTTTCGCTCTATGAGCCACCTCCTCCGGCCTCTGCAGCAACCTCAGCGCCGCCTGCATCCTGCAAGTCACGCCATGGTCATCAATCACGACCCACTGCTGTCCCGCACACATCTCATCCTTGTTCTCCTTCACAGCCACCACTTCGGCCCTCAGGCAGGTCTGCCGCGCAGTCTAATGGGCAGCGCCCTGTCGCTCCACCCGCTTCGGATCTCCCGCGAACCCACTCTTCCAGCTCCGGTGTACCAGATCCTCTGTTGCCGCGCCTGTGCGACAGACCAATGCCCCTCATGCTGCCCCTGCCCCTTCCTGTCAACCTTGCCACCAAGCTCCGAGAACACATAGATTGCCCCGCAGGAGCTCCTGTTCCGCCCCGGCTGCAGCACCGAGCCCTTCTGGCGAGACACGATGCTCCACGAAGCTTTGTCACAAAACATGCCCGTGGTGGTCACGAGCAACACAATCGTGGCCCTTGAATTGTACCCTATTCCATGGGCAGCGCCCTGTGCCGCCGCATCCACACTCCTCGAGGTCTGCCCGCCGGGGAGCACGAAGCTCTCGCCACAGGCCACCACAGCAAATCCCTCCATTCTCGGCCATGTGCCCCACGACACACATAGAGCCACCCCAAACAGCTGCCGCTCCTCAGCCCACAGCTTTCCCTGCACCAACTGGTCCTCCAAGGTTCGACCGTTGGTCCAGTCCCTTCCCGCGAGCTGCCCCTGGACCATCAGCAACCATCGCAACCACACTTCTCCAGCCAAAAGTGCTGCCGGTAACTCCCAACTCACGCTCCGCCCGCGCTAAACCCGATCCTCGCACCCCGGCGCTCGCATCCCCTAGCTTCACTCCACACTCCACTACACATCCCTTGCGCGCCTCGTCCAGCTCCGGCAGCCGTCGGCTTCCGCCAGCCTGCCAAAGCACTGCGCGCCGGCGTTTTCCGCCCACGACCACTACACCGAGCAGCTTTCCGTGGCCTGCATAAGGGGACATACATGGGCAACGCCCTCGCTGGCTGAAGCGACCTAGCGAACACCATGGGCAGCGCCCTTCTCCCCCAGGAAACGCATAACACAGCCGGTGGCTGCCTCTCACCCGACGACTTGGGTGACGGGGGCTCTTCTCGGCTCCTGCATTTTGCTCCAGGGGTGCTCCAGGAAACCCTACCCTCCCCACATCCAGGGCAACGTCCTTCCTCCCCCCGTGGAACCACCCGCCTCCCCACCCCCCCCCCCCCCCGGCCTACCGCACTGCAGACATTCCGCCACGCGCGCGTGCCGCCCGCATGTACATGGCTACGGTCTCTTCCCTCGCTGGCGCGAGAACCTCGCCACCACCTGCCCAAGCTTCCGTTTGCGCTGCTCCGTCCTAGAACCAACACGCCACATGGCGCGGACACGGGCGCCTGACAGGCATGCGAAAATCTTACCAGAGCCTTTCACGTTACCACGGGCACTGGCCGGACCTCGTCCAGCGCAAAATCTAAACAAAGCCTAGAGCATTCCTAGGATCATTCCAGGGCATTTGCCGGGAACACTAGAATCAAGTAGGTTAACAATAGATTAATCAATTTTTGGAGAAATCTGGGAACCTAAACACAAGAGGAAGTCCTAGAAAATTCTACAACAATGGAAGAAAATAGGTTCGCAATGTTCTACGCATACCTGGGAAATCCTACAACTCCCCTTTACAACAAACCCCGGGTCCGGAAAGGTAAAAAAGTAAGGTCTGAGTCTAAGTCTAAGGCTAAGGCCAAGGCTATGGCTAAGGCTAGGCTAAGGCTAAGGCTAAGGCTTAAGGGCTAACATAGAGGCAGGCGGTAGCCTGGTAAATAAAAAGAGCCAAGGCACCGGTGAAATGTCCTTTTGAATGATGTACGCCTGGCTAGCTCGGAACAGCAAGTCGCCGCAAACCCTGCATGCCAAAGCCAGACCATCTTGCGGCATCTGACAACCACATCACTAGACTAATAGCGCAAAGCGGAAAAAGCATCTTGCTGTACTCAATGAAGGGCTCCCAGGTCTTTCTTCACTACCCAAAGCTTGCCTCACGCATCAAAGGCTCCGGCATCTCCAGTCCCCACCTTAGAGCTTTCTCTTCAATTTGTTAAACAAAGACGTACTGCCATGGGCCATGGGTCCAAAGTTCATAGCAACGCACCGAAGACACAAAGAATCAGGCTACAGGAAAAAGGTGTAGATATGTATATTATGTAGATATACTACCATAAAAAGTCAGACGATCCCTGCGAATGGATGGCCATCGAGGCCTGCTGCACACCGGGATAGGAATATATATATATATATACGGTATATATATATATATTCAATGACAAGCAGTGATCCTGGTCTTCAAATTCTCCACGCAGCTTAGACACACATCGGGTTTGTAGGAGTCCTGGCCCATTCTCCAGCGATGTTGTTGGAGAGTTCGGATGGGGACCAGCACCCTCCCACCAATAGAAGTACAGTGCATAACTTAGACACACCATAAATCATCTGTACCACTCAACTTGTTGCCGTCCCACAAGACTTCTCCCCGGCGGTCGCAAAACAGCGCGTCCTCATCCACAATGCTTCGCATCTCAATCTTGAGGTGGTGCGCTGTGTCCAAAACCGCTTGGAGTGCCTCGACACCAATGTCATCGACCATCGAGCGTTCCGAACCCTGTTTTCAGCCAATCTGCACTGGGTTTCCCCGATGGTTTTCACATCCAAATTCCAAATATATATATATATATATATTGGCATCGCAAGGTTCAAACAGAGTTCACCCTTTCCATCTCTTGGGTGTCGTAGGCTGTACTCACAGAATCAAGAGCAAGCAAGCAGCAAGCCTTGCGGGCTTCTTCTCGAGCTGCTTTGGTTTTGTAGTACCTGCCGGGCTCAAAAAAACTCATCCGTGCGCTGTGCGGACACTTTCTACAATGGAAACTATATGAAAGACCACTGTAGATTTGTCAAAGAATTCGAAGTCGAAGAGATACAATAGCTGAATTGGAACCTGGTTTTGGAAGCATGACATGGTTCGGCTGTGCTTCTGACGTTGACTCAAAACCCGTCCACTGCGCGGCGCACACTACTATTCTGGAATCCGGAGGGGAATCCTCAATGATCTTCTTGTGCTCGTTCTCGCTAATCCTTAAGGGGAAGGAATGAGTCAACCAATGAGCATCTAAAATTGGCTCTGGCTGAACAGAAGATAGGTTTGAGTCTGTGCTGTGCTTTTGCCGACCCATCACTTGCCTCATCGGTGGGCCAAGTTAGGACATACCCCGCACCACAATGCCAAAGAATCGCCCGCCATCTGTCACACTCCCTCTGCCAGGATCTGCCAGGTGTGTATGGATATGTGTCTGCCATGTTGGCTAAATACCTGCTTTGGGCATACAGAATTCTCGTTGATTTGGTGGTTCACACCCCTGATGAATAAAATGGTCTCCAAGTGCCCTACAAATGGAGTCTCTAGGCTCTAGGCAAGTTGATACACCAAAATAGGCGCCGTAAGCAGCACTTCGGATGTCATCCAAGAAGCTGGACGAAAGGCACGAAGCCAGAAAGTACGCCTTTCTTGGCTGACTTCCCCTTCACCTGAGCTTGCCCTTCTGCAGGCAGTTTTCGCTGCAACTGGCCACCAGCCTAGATATGTGGCATTCAAGCTCTCAGGTAGCTCTACCGTGCAAAATGTCGAAAGCACAACCTTCCAACGCGTGATCCGCCGGGATACATTCAATCCCTTGCCCACAGCCGCCCCTGACAGCATCTTTGCAATAGCATCCTGCAGCAGTTGGTTGTTGAATCCGAAAGCTGGACCCCAGGATCCATCAGGCAGTCCTTGCTCGTGGGTCGATACACCACAAACCACTGTGTCTCTACACCTGAGTCACTGCCAAGAGTGCAAAAATCAACCGGTGCAGTGCTTTCGGTGAAGGCGATGCTTTCAAGGTTGCCCTGCTTATGGAGATGATCGTGGTTGTCAAGCGCGTGGCATCTGGCTGTCAAAACCCCACCTCACTCAACCAATGGAGAACCAGCAGCCAAGCCACCCTCTGTTCCTTTCATCTTGTGGCGCGCAATCGAGCCGCCAGGCCCACGACTATCACCATTCTGCGAGCAAGGGTCAGTGAGAATGCATGTCATAAGTGGATCAAACTTCCAACATCTTCCGACACCAATGCAAATGTGTCAACATGAAATGGTATGTATGAAATCGTTTTGGTTGGGTCTGGTGCCTTTAAACATCTACCTGGAGTTGCCGAGGCTTTTCATTCTCCAAACGAATGACCATGGAAAGATTGGTTCGTGGGAGCCGCTTCTTGCACGACCAGCACAAGATCAACTTCAAAGCACACAGTCAACAGCTAAAGCATCTGCAACAAATCCTCAACATTTGTGGCAAGCAATACGTGGAACAATGATGACCTGCAGGATGCGACAAACGGCTACTGAAAGGAGTTGATCTAAGCAGGAGGACCGACCTCTCAAGTCCTTTGCCAACTAACTCTTGTGACGTGGCTCGGCCAACCCCTTCCGTGCCTGGTAAAAGTCCGCGATGAGCTTTCTGGGATCTGTAAGATACTGCTGCCTGGTGGCCGAATGACTGGAAACGGTGATGCTCAGGATGCCAGGGCCCCTTGAACTACGATGCCATCGTAATTGAACAGGCGAAGCGGTCGCTATGGGTCAATGGTCCAAGGGCTGTCGGGCTGTCGAACCCTAGGGCCAAGAGCTGACGGTCAATCGGTCCGGCGATGGGATTCGGTATGGGACCCACATCCGAAGAAGGCAAATCTCTGGGCTTCCACACTGCTGCAAGTCGTCCATGGAGCCCAGCAAACGCTCAAACTTCCCACGGCTTAGCACCAAGACTTCCACCTTCCATTGAGAGCGATCGAAAGCGAATCTCATCGAAAGCCCGCAGGTCCCAACCCAAAGGACCCACTCTCCCCAACTCAGCCCCTGCGCATTTGGCTTGACCTCCGATCGAGTAGCCACAGTTCACCACCCTTAAAAGAGCCATAACTGTACAAGCTCCAAGGTCAAAACACAGTGCCCCTTCAGTGCTCGTCCGACCCATCGAAGGATCTACACCAGCCATGGAGCTTCTCACCTTTCTCAATGTCCAGCAGTGCACCTGTCAAAGCCTCCAACACTTCCTTGGGAGAGTCCTCGAGCATCGGCTTCCGGAGCTCCACGTGATCCTCTCGGGTGTCCATGTGCGTCATGACATACAAGGCCTCAGAACCTGGAATCTTGCAAGCCCCTTGCACGCGGCCATCCAGGGCAAATGCCAGAACCCTTGCATCAGCATCCACCAACATGTTGATGACGTTCCCCGGCGCGCAGGCCTTCTCAAACTCCTGAATCGCCTTCCCTTGTGCATGCAAAGCACCTTTGCCGTCCTTAATGCTTCCCCCGCTGGAACGTTGACGACCACAATAGTACGTCCAAGCATTTAAGCTTCGGCCATCAAATCTAGAGCCGGCCGTCGCGTGATCCATAGTAACACCGCACCACTGTTCATCACCTACATGGTGCATGACAAACTCATAGTAGTGAATGCCTCTCCGAATGGGTTCCTGGGTCAAGACATTGCAATAGTCCCCCCTCAAGCCCGGTGAGCGGACCACACCGCCCTTGATTTTCAATTGATCAGAGCCGGAATTTGCTGCATCCCATGTGAACATGGGGGTCTCATCTGTTACACACAAGAGATCACAACCTTCCGTGCCAAGTTCTGCATCCAGCGTGATCACTGCCCCATCCTTCACAAGCTTCTGAAGCGCTATGGGGATGCCACTGGCTCTCTCAATCTCCTCTCTGAGTTCTTGCAGCTTCGTGGGGACAGGCTGCAGCTCCACAATCACAGCACCAGCCATATTTGTCACTCGGACTGCATCAGCCATGTTGACTAAAGAGTGCTGGCACAGGTGTGGCTGCTCAGACCGCTCAAGCTGCGGGAAGCACGACTTGACTGAACATTGATGGGATTGGACGGTTAAGAAAGGACTTCTGACTTCAGCGAAGAACAAAGCAACTCAAACGAGTGAAGGCAGCGAAGAACGCAAGTCATTCAGTCTCCTTCTCTCATTTCCGTTCTCCCACCCTTTGAGTCCAAACAAGGAAAGGCTTCTAATGCCAAACTCCCCGCACAATTGGTCAAAAGAAGCCTTCCACTGCTTGAATTCAGGATGGCCCCTTATTTATGATGGCACCCCTGCCTCCGTCACAGCCGTCACTGAGGCAGCACGTGGCTCATTCTTGAGCAGGGCACGCTCACCGAAGAGGTTTCCTTTCTGGAGGCGCACCTAGGAGAAGTGATGTAGGAATCTATGACTCTAGCAATCTAGGAGAGGTGAGGTGACATCATTCATAGAGAAAAGCCTATGGAATCAAATACCATTCAGAAAGCTGCACTGAATGCAACATGATAAAAAAAAAAGAAACACACACACATATATATATATAAATATATACTGTATATATATATATATAACTCGTTCTTCACCCACCCCACCCTCATGTCAAAGCAAGAAACAGGGTTTCCTGGATTCCCAGGAATGACCACAAGCTGCAGACCCCACTCCACTGATGCCAGGATACGTATTCCTGCTCATCGTCGCCACTTTTCACCCACACACGAGCAGTACCAGACGTGATGAGGTAGAACTCTTGACCTCGCACTCTTGTAGTTGTGGCACCAGTCGACTGACTTGCAGGATCATACGTTTGACCACATGCTGCTAGATCAGTGCTGGGTAAGCTAATGTTTGGCCTATTAAAAAACCATGGAGAACCAATCTTCCGATTTCTGATCAGGCCTGACTCGCCCTGGGTCACAATGTTGTCACCAGCTTGGTACCTGCACCATCCGGCTTGACAGTGCCGGATAGAAACGTTCTGATTCGGGCTCAATGGCCTGCGGCGGCCACCTAATACACAGCCACACATGTGCAACTATTTCGGGCACCCAAGCTCTCTCGTGGATTCACATGGATGTCCATTGTTTGACTTGCCTGCGGAGGGTGAAGGCATCGCAGAGCTTCTCCAATGCCTGACGTTGTATCTCTAACGAAGCGGCAAGTGGACAAAAATATAGCAGTCGCAAAACCTTTTTGTATATATATATATATACATGCACATATGCATATACATATACATACATGTACAGTATATATATATATATGTGTGTGTGTGTACATTGATGTTTTTCGCGACTCCAAGACGTCAGTAACATGTTGATATACATCCTTCTTGATGGTATCTGGCTTTATCTTGCCTCGTCTTCCATCATCTCCAACCTTAGTTTAGATCTTCAGCAGCTGGTCTGCAATCAAGGCCAGGCAGGAGATCAGGTTTCGGGAGCGTCTACTATGCAAGAGTGGCAACCAAACCTGTAAGCATGAAACCACCTATGACACCTGCACCCGCTGGAGTTCATTGCAGGAGGCTGGATGCCTGACACCTCATCTCCTCAGGGTTCCTAACGCTCAAGGTAGCTGCGGGTTAAGCCTTTCATGCAGGGTCTCCAAGGTCATCGCAGCAAGACCCCTCTTTCCCTCTTCTGCCCAACGCCACTGTTCAGACCATGTGGCATTTTGGAGTTCTTCAACATGTGTTTGTACCTGGCATGGCTCAAGGCTTGGTGGGGCTCACTTCTTGCGCATCTTGCGCCGAACAATCCAAACTTGGATTCCGTAGAGCAAAGCCAGTGGCAAACGGCGTATGAGTTTATGAAGGAAAAGCCTGGATCTGGCGCGGAAGGCCATTCGCGTGCAAAGAGTTACCTCAGACCACAGGGAATTTGCAAGGTGCTTGGAAGATAGAGTTTGGAGACACATGTGGCTTGTAGCACTTGCAAGTTTGATCCTGACGGAATCTCTGCTTCGGATTGCATCTTGTGCTTCACTTGATTTATGCTTATTGACATCTCGATGCAACAAGCAGCAAGAAAATGCAACAAGTTGAAGCAACATGTCATAAGTCGCAGCCATCATTGGTTTTCACCGGCACTTAAGTTATCGCCACTGGCTATTTGGTTTCGGTATTTTTTGAGAAATGGTGGCAGGCAGCGTAGGCCACCAGTCTATCCACAGCAGCTTTGGATCACAAATGATCACAAGCAATGCAGGCATGAGAAATGCTGAAAGGTCATGGCAGTGGTGACAGCGGGGCAACCTTCCTTGTTTGAAGGGTGAACAACCACCTCTTCACGTTTCTTCACGTTTGGCTGTCGAGACACGTATTCACTGTGGGTCAGCTTGGCCACAATGCATTCACCCTCTGCCTGAATCAAGACGGAGACAGGGACGCCACATCTAGATGCACGCAGCCAAGGGATGAAGGGACACACACAAAGAAAAATAACGAAAAATATGTGTCAAAGCTCAGATGCTACACTGCCTGCAGTCAACAGCAACGGGTATGCCAGGTAGGTTATGTCCGTGCCTTCATCAAGTATCTCCTTGGGTATGCAAAGAGCACTGCTGCCTGCAAAGCGACCCACTCATTTCGTGGACATGGGATGTCTTGGTGGGCTCCCACCTACTAGCGATGGCCTCCAACCTAATAGCAATGGCCTCCACCCTAATTGCTAGCGCGTGATGGCTCTGTTGGCTCGGAAGGTGGGAGAGGGTGTTGCTTTAGTCTTGGTGCTCCATGCCCGAGTCTCGCAGCTGGGCTGCACATTTCAAAAACGAGTATCTTCGCAAGGGCGGAATGCCCATGACAACGCCTCATCCAGCAACGCTCCCTGTGTCTTTCGTGCCACAGGCTCCGCCTTTCCACCTGTGAGTCAAGGGGCCAAGGCACATCCGGGGCACATCCGGCAATGTGTGTGTAGCTGAGCAACTGTGAATGGACTTGGTACCATGAGCATGCAAGACCATATTGAGACTAGTCTGAAAATATCTCAAAAGCATGGTAGAATGGTGGTGATAAAGGGGCAGGACATCAGCAAAGATTGATGAAAACTGTGTTCCTGTCGACGGACTGTGGGCCCAACATGGGTTTTTTGTTCCTCATCCCCAGCACCCAACGAGCTCCCCCGCTTTGGTAACAGGCAAGAGTTCCCTCGAGCACAACCTGCGGCATCTGCGTGACCCTATGCCTCATGCTCCTTCCAAAACCCCAAACTCCACACCCACAATTTCCTCTCGCAAGAGCCACGCCCTAGCTGCAGCCCTTAATAGGCAGCTCACATTCCAGGTGGCAAAGTTTTATCTATCCCCGTTTCTGCGTCTGGGGGAAATGGAAGGATTGTTGTCGAGCCAGTGCGCTCACTCTCTGGCTGTTTTCTGATCCTGCCGGGCTTGCCGTCTGTGGGCCAAGACTTCTAACCAGGCCCCCGTGCGTATAAGCTGTCGGCACGCTCACCCTCTTCAGCGAAGACTTCACCGTCGTAGCGCAGGTGTGTCTCCTGGAAACCACCAGGCGAAACAGGCGACAGCCGCAGCTGTGTGCTCGTTCTTGGGCCTTCACACCTAGGCTAGTCGGTATACATATCTTTATATATATATAAATATATATAGGCACTGCGCGTTTTCTGGGCCCCAAGCACCACAGCAGTACATCAAGAGTCTGCCTTTATATTTGGTTCTACATTACCTGCCATAATAAGCTTGAGAGCAATTATTGCTCACAATCGCACGAAACGCTAAGCAGACAATTGCCATTCGGTTGTGCCTTGACTGTACACAGGTGAGACCAGACGACGCTTTCAGAGTGGCTTCAAAACTTGACCCGATGTTGACACGGCAGGCATATTCGTACAGGTCACCGGCATCGATGGAGTCTGTGTCAGAATTCTTGGATGTAGTCTGGAAAGATAGTCGGCCGTACCTTTCCCTAACCATGTTCTTCAGCCCCGCAAATTCTGCTTCGATATCGTTGGCGTGGAAGCCCGCGTTAGTGCCCCTCCAACCCACAGAGTGGTTCACAGGTGGGGCTTGAGGCCAAGATCCTTGATGGCTGCCATTGAAGCTTTTCATGAGTCATGAACTACAAAGGCATTCTTGGAGATGCAAATCTCAATGGCTTGCTTCATCGAAGCTTTGCCCCTTGACTTGTTGTCTACTGCAAGCTTTGGAAGAATGCAAAAGGTGAACCTCTTCTCGCCGTTCTCACGCGTGACCTTTCTGCCTTGCGTCCAACAGGCACTGTAGCAAAGAGCCATCGGCCACTAGAGCGGGCATCTTTGTCAGTTCCTCGCTTGTTCTTATTGAAGACAGCCTTCATCACAGCTGCTGGGGAGCGAAGGGGTCTTGCTGCTGGACGGGATGAAGATGAAGCGGCTGGGCTGTGCACGGTAGGAGCTGCAGGTCGTAGGAGCGGGTCGTGAAGAAGTCGCCAACGATCATGTGTCTCCCCACGTACGGGACACTGTTTCTCTTCAGGAGAAGCCAAGGGCTTTGCGAGAAGGGCTTGCTCCCGTCGAGTCAAGCTTTGTGTCATAGTCAACAAACTTCTTGCGACATCCCCATTGTTTTCATCATCATTGTTGCCCGACCTGTCACCGCTGGAGCTGTCAGAGCTGGAAGTGTATGCGCTCGCATTGCTGTTGTTGGATGCTTGCTTTGCTGTCTCGCTGGGTTCTGGCGACGCTTGCTTTGCTGTCTCGCTGGGTTCTGGTTGATCACAAAGCTGCAGCTGTTTGCTTGGCTTTGCTAGCCATGCCTCAAGCCTTTTCTGCGCATGCCTTTCAGCCCTGACTTCAAGCGCAACCCGCGCTGAATGGCACCAATCTCACTTTGAATCCATTTAGGATTCTCCAAGATCAAGATCCGTTCTTTACGATGACACGCCGCATGCCAGTTCACCATTCTCGATTTTGGTCCGGATGTTATCCTTCGTGGGCACAGGTTGAGGAGAAGATGCAGGTGAAGGAGTAAGTGGAGTAAGTAGCGCATATAGATCTTGTCGTTCGAATGCCACATTGATTTGATCACCTTCTGCTTGTATAGTGTTGAGGCTCCACATGGCAAATCAAAACGACAAGCGCAAGAAGCTAAAACCTTGAGAAGTAGCACAGCAAAAACAAAGTATATAAACTTCACCACTGGGTTTATAAACTTGACTTGCTCAACCCTTTGATGGGGTGTGCTCACAACGTAGGGGGGGGCGCTCACAACTTTTTCCTTTAGTCACCTCAAGAAGACTTCACAGTACCCCCCCTCCCCCTACTTCAAGAGTTCTGAGCGCCACCCCTCCCTTTATATAGCGCTGACTTGGATGAATGGCGTAGATGCACAGGATAAGTAATAGCTGTATAGAAGCGACAGCTTTGCTGTACAACAAAATGATATACAGTTGCATGGGCTCAGGGCGCGATCATCCGGATGGCATAAACAACTGTAAGGTACAGGCTTACCTGGCAGGGTGCATTTTTTGGTGAAAACAATGGGTTTTTGATAGGTCGCGACGGCGGACTTCAAAAAACACTGTATTTATAGCACGGAATGGACTAGTTCGTGCATGCGCCCGCCCGGAACCGGCAAGAGAAAAGTGAAAAAAATTTTTTTTGCCGTTTGGTCTTCGATTTTCGGTTTTGAGACGCGTTGCTTTTTTCCCCAAACAGTGTGAACACTTAGGGGTTCTTACGGTAGTAGTCAAGCAGCTGTGCTTAGATCGCAGTGCCGCGTGGGCGTGTCCGGCCATTTCGCTGCTATTTACAGTACATTCATGCCTCTCGAAATCCTCGACGCGCATTTCAGCTGCGCAGGCTCGCGAAATCTGCGGCCGCGGCGGGCGTTGTCGCGACTGCGCTCTCGTTGTGGCGCCGCACGCATTTTCGCACATGGCGGCCAATTTTCGCGGCAGGCGCGAGGGAAACCTCGTGCTTTGGTGGTCCAAAGTCGACTATTCGTGACACGCGCGGGGGATCGGAGCGGTTTTGCTTCGAAGTGCAGATTTTGCGCTTTTGGACATGTGGCTCGTTGGCAGTTTTCGTGGCAGGCAAGGCACTTTGTGAGCTTCAAAGTACAGATTTCGCGGCGGGCGCAGCGAACCTCGAAGTGCAGATTTCATGGCAGGCACAGCGCTTTGAACCTCCAAGCGCAGATTTCGTGGCAGGCGAGGCACTTTCTGAGCCTCGAAGTGCAGATTTCGTAGCAGGCACAGCGCTTTGCGAACCTCAAAGTGCATATTTCGTGGCAAGCATAGCACTTTGTGAACCTCGAAGTGCAAATTTCGTGGCAGGCCCAGCGCTTTGTGAGCCTCGAAGTGCAGTTCGTGGCAGGCGCAGCACTATGTCACTATGTAAAGCTCAAAGTGCAGATTTCGTGGCGGGCACAGCACTTCGTGCCTTTGTGAACCTCCACGTGCAGATTTTGTGGCAGGCGCAGCACTTTGTGAACCTCGAAGCGCAGATGTCGCGGCAGGCGAGGCACTTTGTGAACCTCGAAGTGCAGATTCCGTGGCAGGCACAGCGCTTTGTGAACCTCGAAGTGCAGATTTCGTGGCGGCCACAGCGCTCTGTGTCTCAAACGCGCACCTCTTGCTCTCACACACGCACTCGCATTCACACTCACTCGCTCGCACTCACACTCACTCACTCGCAGTCACTCTCACTCTCTCACTCTCTCACACTTTCACTCACACGGACACTCACACTCACACTCACACTCCATTAATTATCCCCTATAAGGCGAGAGACCCCAAACAGTGTGTGTGAGGTCTAGAGGTGTAGCAGCAGAAAGTCTAGAGATCTAGACACATTGGGGCGCAGAGAGGTGATGGTGGTGATGAAAGTGGAGATCGTGGTGATAGTGGCGGCGGTTGGTGATTGTGACTGCGCGTGTGAGTGAGAGAGTGAGAGAGTGGGTGAGTGAGTGAGTGAGTGGGTGGGTGAGTGAGTGGGTGGGTGGGTGAGTGTGAGTGTGAGTGTGAGTGTGGGTGTGGGTGTGAGAGTGAGGGCGAGAGGGTGAGAGTGAAAAGTGAGTGTGAGTGTGAGAGTGAGTGGGCGAGTGTGAGTGTGAATGTGAGTGTGAGTGAGAGATAGTGAGAGTGTCTTGTCGGGAGGCCGGGGGACCAGATTTTGTGACTTCGGAGCTGTTTGGGTGACGGCTTTCGCCGTTTTTGTTGGGCAAAAACAATGTTTTTGTACATTGCCGAGGCTTGACGTCTTTGCACGGACATGCAAAAAACCTCGCAAGTACCAGTGTTTTTGGCGACCATGTCGTTGAAAAAGTCGCGAATTGCGGTGTTTTAGACAGCAGGTCCAAAAACACTGTAATTTGGGCCACAGCAAGCTCAAAAACATCGCTATTTGCAGTGGCTTCTGCTCACGCTGCATAGCAGGGGCTTTGGCAACGTCAACCTGGTTTTTGCTTTCCGGTGTATATGAAACACTGTCAATAACAGGTGTTTTTGGCAGATGCAAAGCTCCCCAATACATATATCTATCTATCTATCTATCTATCTATCTGTTGGGAGCGGGAGCTGAACGCAATCTGTTTGGATCCACACTTACTAAATGGCAACATGATGAACCCTTGTGATTGATGGTGATGAATGAAGCTGGCGCATACTTCTGGCATATTACCTTATACAATCGTTGTTGCGTCATACCATCACTCATCCGACCCGCTATTGGCTTGTAGGGCAACATGCACGGCGTGAGCAAAAACCTGTGCTTTTTTACTTGTCGTCTTTCGATTTTCGGTTTTGAAACGCGTCCTTTTTTTCCGTGTGTCTTGTCGCCAGAGCCCATGAGGTGAATCACAAGGTTGAATGGATCGTGGATCGCAAGATAAGAACATTTTGTCGCCCCGCCACATCGTCCCAAATTTATCTACAAGTTCAGCTGTCGCAGTTCCCCCCACACACACCCGGGGGGAAGGTCGATTCTTCCCCCTGTTCCTGCAGCGCCATCCCCACCCCCGCAGTCCATCGGCCGAATAAACCGCTCTAGATCCTGGCGTCGCGAAAAGCATGCCGGTCGGTGCAACAAGCTGAAAGGGAACATCTCGCACACCAAATGTAACCTCGGAACATCTCGCAAGCAGTTGAACATGGGCCTTGTCTCCGAACTGCTTGAATACAGTGGCTTCCCTGCAAAGGTGATGTGTGCCCAGGGCAGTTGGCGACCAGTGAATTGCAAAATTCAAGTAACCAAACAAAGGGGTCACCTGATTTTAGTCGATGCCTGGCCTCATCACTTCTCTCAAGATCGTCTCCCAAGCTTCGTGCTTGGTCCAGTACTTCTCCTGCACAGTGTTTTAAGCTATTGCATGTGGTTCCATCAATTAGCTTGCAGTGAGAACATGCTTTTGGGGCACTGGGCCGGCCCCAGTGGGCTCCTTGAAGTAGCCCTGGATCCAAGGCTCAGCACAGACACCACCCCGGCGTGGCCGAACAAATGGTTGGATGTCAATGACCTGGAGGGCGGAGTCATCCGTGAGAAAACCTCTACCAAATCAGCCCAACTATGGATTCTGATGGGAATCAAAAACAGCTCCACGACGGCCTCATCATCTTCGTCATCATCAGAATCACCATGGCCAGACGCTCCGCTGGTCCTGCCAGGCCGTGCATGCTGCATGCCTTCAACATCTCACCTGGGAATGCATGTTCAGGCCCTTCTGCAAACTACCCTGACCCTTAACACAACTGAACTTGCGTGCGCGGCAGGAGATGCTCACATGTGCTCGCCTTTCTATCACCGGGGCCGGTTGGGCTGCGAACCTGCATCATGCTGTGCAAATCCACAAAAACCTGGCTCCCACCTGGAAATTAGAAGTACGCTATGACTCTGACCTGGTGTGGGCCTCTCAGATGAACAATGGTTTTTTCACTATGCTCACGTACCCTCACAAAATCCTGATCACAACTGTTTCTTTTACGTTTTATGGATCCTGATGGAGCCTGATGAATGTGTCCGGACCCCTGGCAGGATGGCTTGCAGTCGTGGACAAAGTTTCTGACATCTCTGGCGAATCTAGCGAAGCATCAGCTATGCGGCGAGGTTGGGGTGCGGCCAGGCAGCAAACCACAATTCCAAGCACACATGGCACCTTGCAGAAAGTCAACTCATCATGTGAATCTCAAGACGCATATAAGCCGGCACCTGTGCTAGCTGCTAGCTGCTCCATGAGTGAAGGTGTCATAGTCACAGCTTCTCAATTGGCTTACTTTCACCCCTTTCAATGAAAGCCATTTCCATCAAACTCAGAGTCTTCGCCTCAAGTCTCTGAGGCCAACAGCGCGACAGAGCCCACCCCCAGCGCTAGCGGGGGATGCGCAACACGCCACGCTTGAGGCTAACGGCGGAGTTCGGTGGTAAAACGACATAGATCCACTCCAATAGGAGCATAATAATGGAGCAGTGTCAGCACACCGTGCAAACCAAACTTTGGAATTGTGCACGTCATGGAGCAATGTGTGTGTTTTGGAGTTTTGTTCCAATTCTCTTGAAGGAGGGGATGCTGTGGGAGGCTGACGCCACTTATGCTTCCATGACAGTGGCTCTACAGGGAGGAGTCCATGCAATGTGCTGAGAGTGGCAACTCAGCAGCTGAAGTCTCCAATCCATAAAGGCAAATCTCAAAATTTGACAAATTTTGGGGATGTACATCTGTTCCTGCTTCAATTATTCTCAGTTGGGAAACCCTCTTGGCCTCTTGGGTCACCAAACACTGCGTTGCAGGAGCTGCGGACTTCTCAGGTATCTAAGAAACACCCTGTCCTTTGCAGCCCCTTCAATGGGAAGGGAGAAACAGCCGCAACTCATCTCTGGAGCCTTGCTGTACCACTCGAGAAAGCCGACAGCCTGAGGGCAAACTGGCCATCGGTGTAGGAAGGACCGTCCAGAAGTGAGCAGGGGTTGAATCGATCTTTATTGAGCAGGAGGACATGATGAAAATCACCTCAAGTGACAGCCTGGATGGATCTGCTTATGGATCTGTATCTATTTCATGTATATAGCTGTTCCGTCCTCATGGCACCATGATTGCATCCCCCCGGTCATCAAAACATACCAAAACCATGTCCATACAGGTCCGCTTTGGGACCCACACGCGGTCACCGATGGTTCCCGGATGATCTGCCAGGACCGGAGCGAAGATTCCGAGCCTGGGCTGCCTTGGCGAAACGACCAACTGAGCGGCGTGGAGCCAGGTGTGTGTGTGTGTGTGTGTGTGTGCGTGCGTGTGCGCGCCCCATATGCTATGCCGGCTGAGTGCCACAAAGGGTAACAGAAGTACAAATCTTCTGTCATTTCTATTGTTAGCTCGAATCACGAATCGGTCCAAAAATGCTGTCATGCGGTGGGTGATACAGGCTGGCTCTACCTCTCTCTATCTCTATCTCTTCGCAGGCCACCCTGTTCAGGATCGAGGGTATCCAGGGTGCCGCGGTTTGGACCCACAGCGGCTTCGCACCGCTTCTGCTTCAGGCCCCTCAGCCCTGGGCCGTTTGACAGCACAGAGCTGCAGGACCTCAGCACCGAAACTCCCGGACCGTCTCACTGATTGGGAGGGATGGTTTGTGATGTTTGTGCGGGGGGGCAGGGCTCCAAAACACTCCAAAACTGGACCTCTTAGATTATAAGGCTCAACCTCTGGACTCCACGTAGGTGCCAGACCGTCGCCCTGCTGGTGCTGTCGGATCTTTTTTTGATGCCCGATGGGTCGGGCGAGCGGGCTGTTTCGCACCGCTAACGTCAAGGAGTGCCACTGGCCAAGGCTCTCATGGCTTGCCGCAGCGGGTCTACAACCTGAAAAGCGTCTTTCTCGAAGTGCACGAAGGGAAGGGGCCAACAAATGGCGGTGAGAGATGAGATGAGACGCATGACCTGCCTTGCTGTTCAAGGTGCCCTCCGCATGGTCGATGGCTCTCTGTCCGTTCTCATCCTGCACCCAAGGCAAACAATTGTTAATTAGAGATGATCGCCACTCAATTTATATAGCTGAGATGGCTCAGGGTGTCACCCTGAGATGGCTCAGGGTGTCACCATGATGTGAGTGGTACAAGGTGAGACCGATGAATCACCCTCATAATGCAAATTCATGTGAATTTGTCACGTGGGCACCATGGGCAACTTGACTACACTCTACACAACACCTAAAGGCCCCTCGCATGTTCAACGTGCCCCATCTCGTGGACAGAGCATTGACAAAGCCAAGCCCAAAAAAAGAACAATCAAATGACTTATATAGCCAATGACAAAATCACCAATGACTGTGATAAGTCCGTTCGTCCTGGGCATTCAAATCAGCCCGGGCATTTATCAAGACCTTGAGGCAGTCTACTTGTTGTTCCTTTGCTGCCCACATCAGGGGCGTCTCGCCTTTCTTGCTGTGTGCCTGCGAGGGCGGGGAACACCTACTAGCAACGGCCTCCAACCTAATGGCGATGGCCTCCATTACTAGCGATGGCCTCCAACCTACTAACGATGGCCTCCAACCTACTAGCGATGGCCTCCAACCTACTAACGATGGCCTCCAACCTACTAGCGATGGCCTCCAACCTACTAGCAATGGCCTCCAACCTACTAGCAAAAGGAAAAATAGGCTTGTCAATGTCAAGCAACTTGGCACGTTGCAACCCAGGTTTCCTGTTGCGGAAAGTCTGTCTTCCGTCCGCCGTTTACCCAAGCCTCTATTGGGCAACGATGCTGAAGGAGCATCGTCACAATCTCCTTCGACACAGACAGGAGGGAGCTTCTTCCAGCATGGTATATACATGTGACAAGGGCTCATGATAGCTTGCTTTTGTGAGTCACCTGCGAGTGGCATGTGTGCCAGGTGCATTACATTCAGAACGACCCTCTCCTGACTCCCGCATTGGATCGTAGAGAAAAGAGCGTTGTGTCCTTCTGAGTCTTGCTGATCCACTCTGGCCTTGCTGGTCAATATCTCCTCGGAGCACGGGGCATGTGCTGCACTATCTGCACTTGCCGTTCTGACCGTGCTCTCCTTGAACAGATGTTGCACAGAGATGGCAGCCTAGATTCTCCAACCACCAAATCACGACCCAAAGCACATGCCATCATCAAGGCCGTCTTGCCACCCTTGCAGGGCAAGTCCACCTGAGCATGCCCCTAGATATGGATTTCAATCCCTCGGAGAGCTCGCCAGATTCAAAAAGAAAGTCCAAAACCCGCTCAAACCTGGCCTTTGCTTCTCGACCAATCAGCCCCTTTACCACGGCGGCGTGCCCCATAGCTGATGCCCACATCAAGGCAGTCTGGTGCTCAGCATCAAGTTGATTTACCTGCGGCACAGTTGGGACATCTGCCTCCTGCTCCTCCTCCTCCTCCTCAAACCGCCCAAGATCAACGGTCCCGACTAATTAAGTGAAAAGCGCTCAATTCCAAGATTGGTTGATGTGATCGCGTGCCATCCCCGCCCCTCTTCCTTCAACTCGGCCTGTTGGGCCCATTCCATCCCCACATGGCCTTAGCGCCTTCCTCCAACAAGTACTCACAAACATCCTCAGCCGCATCGGCAAAAATATCACAAAGGCACAACTATGATGGACAAAACGAAGGAGACTGGAGCCAGAAAATCGGATCACACCTACATTACATCTCACATCATCTCACCTGATACCTACCTTCTTAACCGGCTTTCCGCCTACAGCAGTGGACATTTAGCACCTCAATCTGGCAGAGTGAAGCTGCGCCAAGGTTCCCAATGTCCATTGGCCGCTGCCTTCATTAGAGCACTTTCACCCCTCTCGGTGGCATAGTCAGGTGCTGAGTCATAGTTCTTCACCAACATTTCCTGGCGATGTGGTGTCCGAATAGGTCCATCGGTCAATGATTGATCGAATTGAGGATCGGCCTCAAAGCTCGTGGAGCGAGAGCCCACTCAACTTCCATATGCATTGACAGATATGTTACATGATGAATTAAATGCTTATAACTTATAAGTATCTGTGCAAATTTGGCGGAAACAAAATCACAACGAAGGGCGGTAATTCCCGGTAAACAAAGGCCGAGCTGTCTCCATCAGGGCAGCTTCGGGGCTCCAAACGCAGCCAAGTATCACATATGTCAATGCTGCCAGCTAAAGCCGCCCACATGAGCACCGTCCACCCATGGTCATCCTTCAGGTCCTTAAACGTCCAGAGACCTACAGAATTGTAACAGCACAGGGCTGCTCAACAATCTCATGGTCAAGGACGTTCAACTCCCCAGTCTTGCCGAGCTTCCAGAGAAGCCCCTTCGTCAATTAAGAGCCGCAACGCCTCCGACTCATCGTTCTCAGCTGCCTTCCTCAAGTGCAAACCCTGCTCCACCGTGCGCTATAAAGGACATAATATGGCTTGGTTCCCGACCTGCCTCACAAAAATGAGCACACACCCCGGCACCAGCCCAAAATAACGAGTGTTTCAGAAAAAGAACAGCTTGCCGTGATGTACTGGGCGTCAACTGGCCTATGCACACGCCCTGCCATCTAGAACAGGTGACAAAGTCCACAGATTGAGTGATGCGGCTAGGTCCAAGGGCTGACCTCTTCAAACGAATGACAGAGAAAATGGACACACTTATGTAGACTTAAACTTTGGTAGACCTGCCTTCCGTCTCTCTGCACACCCCCGTCAGACCAACAGCTTGAAGGGGAAGGACTGGGTAAGAAAAGCAGAAATGGCAGGAGGGAGTGAACAAAATCACCGAATCCCTCTCGACCTGTGAGTTTTCCAAGCCACACCGACCATCGGTCCGGAGGTGAGGTTTCTTCGCCGCCTTCGCGCCCGACCATGTGTCGCCCAAGGTTCATCAGTGCAGTGACCCCATCATCATCCTTCACATCCAATACGCGCTGCCGTTCCATTCGCTTGGTTTTCTGCGCGTCGCCCATCACGGTGCCGCCGGTCTTTTTGCCTTAAGGTACCAGTGCAGTGGGTCCCAGAGGCCACCAGTTGTGGCACACAAGAATGGAGCTGAAGAGAACAACAATATTCTTGAACAACAACGGTCTTTTGGAGTTCAACTGAGCTTCTGGAGAACTCTTTGTGCACTACTGCCATCAAAAGCATCAAAAGCAAATGAAAAAGTTGGACTACTGCCACCCAGCATCGCTGCATCACCTGGGAATCGATGAGAAATTTGATCACATCTGTGTGGCCAGCTTTGCCTCAGTTGCAGGCCGACCGACGACACAACTAGAGTTGAAATGAGTTGGATGAGTTATATTAGAGCTGAACTTTAAGCCTCACTAACTATCCGCGTTTCTTGACTCATTTCGCCCTTCTGTGAGGCTCACATGAAGCCAAGCAACATGCCTTCATCAGGGCAGTCTCCCCTAGATCATCCTTGGCAGAGACTCGGGCGCCATGATCCACCAGAAACTTCACCACCTGAGAACAACCCGTCATCGAGGGAGTCATTGAGAAAGCTGCAATTCTCTCACTGACAAATGCCACCGAAGAACTTTGCATGAAAATTGTAGTTATCCACCAAAATTACCCTGTTGCAAAGGTCGGACGCAATTTCCATGCAAAGCAATAGAGCCAGCAGCCCTCCCCCCTCCACAAGTCTGGGATATGACAGGCCGCATGCATATGTCCCAGCTCTGCTGCATGCATCAATGCACTCATGCCCACGGAATCCTTTTGGTCCACCTTGACTTTGGGCTCCTAGACCACAGAAAATGGACTCGTGCGGGCACGGTTCGGAGGTTCGGAGCATTCGACGGAGTCTACTCCAAACTGGACGGCCAACCCTGTTTGCAAAGGAAATCTGATGGATATAAAAGGGGTATCCGAGGGTCCATTTTTCACTGCCATGTTCGTGAGCCGGAGGGTATACGTGAAATCTGTGACAAAAAACTTTTGCGAAGTTCGTGAACCCATTGAAGGAGCCTGTACAACCTGAGAAAACGTGGACCATGCAGCAAGCTGATGGTCACACAAACGATCCGAGCAAGCAGGAACAAACGAACCTTTTCGACTGGCTGACCGCGAGCAGATTGATCTGGCTCAAAAAACATCTGGCGGCCTCTCAGATCGGTGTAGCTGGACTCATGGGATGTTGTTTGATATTTCTCTATGGCCCCTGCTTGAGTCCAATGGTCTCCCGAGTGGCACGAGCCTCTACTTCTGCTTGTCCTCCTTGTTCTCGATGTTGTCAGCCAAGTAGACCAACTTCTCCTTTGCATCCCACTTTGGGTCACCGGCAGTGTTGCCCAGCTCCTTCAACAAACCGCTCGACTTGGCTCCCACATCCAGCTTCTTGAGCTCCTCATCATTATTGCCGCTGCCGGCAAACTGATTTCGCTGGGCCAAAGCCGGGGAAGCGCCGGCCAGCGCTACGAGAAGGCCCGCCATGATGCCGAAGCTGAGGGATGCCATGGTGGAAGCGCCACCGTCATCCTGAGCATCCACCATGTCCGGAGCACGTCCGGCGCTCTGAACAGGGCTGCTGACCTTCGCACTGGTTCCAGAAGTTTGGACGAAAGCGCTCTGCCAAGCCAAGCATCCCAGGGCAACCAAAGCAAGGCTTGTGCGCAGCATGGCGAGATCAATCCAGAGAGGCCCTAACAGATCCAGCGGTCTTGAGCACGTCAAAAACTGGGGGTCAAACCACACAGCCATGGAGGACGGTCCATGCCTGGGTGTATTGCTACAAGCTGCAACTAGCAGCGCTTGGATGGCACAAGGTGCTTGGCTCAGGATATTTGACCCTCTCCAAACATGCGCTACATGACATCCGCAACCGGGTCTCCTTGAGCGCACGTTGGCAAGCATCCTCAGACCCAGTCTTGGCGGCCTCAAGTCAAGCGACACAAAGCTCAACAAAAATGCAGCCGAAAAACAGGCTTCCAAACAATGGTGCTGTCCGAACGTGCGTGAGGAGTGCTTGAGTGCTCCTGCACCCGTGAAAGGATTCCACAGTTCCCAAAAGTCCAAACTGCCAGAAACAGGGGTCGGTGACAAAGTGCCAGGTGAGGAAGGTGGGGCAAAGCGGTCAGGGGGGGAATCGAAAAAAGGATACCTTCGTGACTGACGCGACGTACACTAAAACTTGTAAACAAGTACATCTCCTCATCACTGCCACTTGGCCCAGCCTCAATGAGGGGATGCACTGTGACGGTGACACCTTTGCCCTGCTGGCTCTTCAGAGCAGCCAGCAAGTTGCTGGTCATCTTGACTGGGCAAAGGCAGTACAAGACTCCCTCAGAGCCAGAACACTGCAGGCTTGACTCACTTAGGCACTTGACACACACAATGAATCTTGTATATAGATGGTATGGAGGTGAGCTGCATGGCCTGCCCAATTATATATACAGGTGAGTTTTGAGCCGGGAGCAGCGCAATGCCGAGATGTGACGGTGTCCATCCACACTCCAATACACAATACATGCACCCACCTGACCGAATAAGCCTAAGGCAAACGAAGTACTTGCTGTGGCACCCGGCTTTGCATCTTCCTGGGCCGGGACGTTTTCGTTGCAAATCTTATCACTCCACGGGAAGCACATCGTTTGCCACGTCCATGTTCAAAACAGGCTAAGCTCCGATGAACCTTTCATCACAACCATGGCTCCTGCCTGTACACACTGCCTGGACATGATGTGGGTGTCGTTCTGGGTCAGCTTATTTCCTTGGCATGTCCACTATGGCTGGCCATTATTGAATGTCCAAAACAAAATCACAATCTCTCGCAGTTCACCACAAACAAAACCTCCGCCCATACCCGCCACAACCGAATCACAATCCGCGTGTAGAAGAACACAATTGAAACGCAATCATCATCTCAGGTCCCAGCTTCGTCCCTCTTCACTTGTTGGGCCCAACCCGTTTCTTTGAGCACGGTGCAAAAATCAGATCGTGCACAGTGGGGCCAACTGGGTCGTAAAACGGGCTGGGCTGGGTACTTTTAACAAAGCACCGCAATCAAAATGACCTCGTTTTACATCAAGCTGTCCAGCACTCTCTGAAAGCCCTTGTTTTCTAAACATTTGCCTGGGATGGAAAGGTCACTCCCTATGTGAGACTGCATTCGCGGCCGCAACGCTGTCTCCACGGCTGGCCTTGGCGTGCGTTGGTGGGCTTCAGGCTGCTAGATCAAGGGATGCACGGCATGTGTGCACCATTTTCCACGCATATCTTGAAAATACATTGAATCTTTCTGTCATCTGTTGTCTGTTTTGAGGTTTCGCTGGGAGCTCACACCACTCTCAGCCATAATGATGTAGTAAGCACAGATTTCTGCCGCTTGAAATGCCAACTAGCTCAGTGAGAAGCTAACTTTGATACAAAAGTGGAGCCTCCCTGCTCGCACTCAAGGACTAGGGCCTAGGGTGATGGTATGTGACTCTGGGGCACAAACCACTCTCCACTATGTCTATGTCTCTACACCTTCTCATTGAACAGACCTGCCAAGAGATGCGAGAGGGAGTGCTTCAGCACTTCGGTATGGATTGCCTCTCCGATCCCATCCGTCTTGGATGGGGCATGGCATTTGGCATCCTCGAAAGCGGCCAAGGCATGCCAAGGCGGCCACTGGATTGCTCTTCACAAGGTCACCTGAGTCACCTGAAACCTTGTACAGTAGAACTTGTGGAACCTAGCCAGTTGTACCTCTCAGCCTTCCATGGCCGCGATCTTCTTCTCGAAGGCTGCTATAATATGTTTTCCCGTGGGCGATTTCTTCAGGTCATCTTCCACATCCTCAAATGCATAGCTGCGAAGCTGTCCAGCTGCAATTCCCCCCCAACCCTCCTGGACCCTCCCGGCGCCTCAATGCGAGTGCGCAACTCGAGCCAGTCGTCTCCACGGCTGTGCTCGATGATGCGCTGCACGGTATAGTTTCCGAACTTGTCCTGAACAATGTGGCTTGGATGGTACTACTGTCAGTATAGCTGTTTCCTCTCCATACTTGGTTATATAACTATATGTATATAATTGTTAGTGAGTGCACTTCTGGGGTAGTGTCGCGTTCGGTCGACGTTTGCTGGCTGGATCTGCATGAGTCTGCAACCGACGTTGTTGGGTCGAAAACTCTGGACACCAATAGTTTCACAATGTCGTCAGTAACTTGCAAGACCTGCCAAATTTGGCTCTCAAGTTGGAGGCTCAAGTGCAGTCTGAAATGCGGGTCCTTCATGAGCCGCGCAATTGGCGCATTGGGATCTGACTTCTTACCCAGCACAGCACGCATCAGAGCCGACCTGCAGCCAACTCGACTCCCGTACATCTGCACCACACACCTTTACATGTGAAAACATCCTTGCTGTCCTTCCTGCGTCTCCCAACCTTTCTTCGACGAAATCATTGGCATGGGATCCAACAGTGCTGATTTCGAAGCATTTCTCCACCACGTTGCTGGACACCTGCGGCTGAAGGGGGAAAACAGTAAGCATCCATCCCACCATTTCAGCTTGACACATACAACATGCTTTGGCATCCTTTTGCTCTGTCCATTCGTTTCCTCATGTCATAAAGGTGACATGGTGAGTCTTGACCTTGTTCGTCGCGAAGTCCAGAACACTCCCAGTGATGACCTGCACACCAAAGTTATGTCTGAAGACATGACCTGTGCTTCGGAACGTTAGCAACTCCCACCTCGAGGATCTGGCGCTTATCCTCGAAGCGGCCACGCTCCAAAATGCACTGGATGACGTAGTTCGCGTGGCTGTCCTTCCAAAGTCAGTCAATGGCAGAACCATGAGACACAATGACATCATATGACATAATGAGGTTCCAATTATGATGTTCGATCCATGACCCGCTGCTCCTTGGCAAGCTTCGTGGCCGCCTTCACCACGGGATCCAGGATGCCGCTGAGCTGGTCCGGATCACAGTGCTCAAGAAGCCTCCGGATAACAAATCGAACAGAAAGAAGCATCAAGAAATCCTGAATTAATTTGTGAAAAACTTGAAAACACGTGGTGAAGGAGTGGCCAAGCCCAGCCAGATTTATACAAATACAAAGGTTGGTCGTTCGCCAAAGGGCATCACACATACAACTCCCTGCAGTGCGGCCATGAACCCCCAGGCAAACTGGCAATGTATTCTCGAAGATCGACAACACATCTGGCAGCGCCAGCAAGTGGCAGCGATGCGTTTCCTTCGAAGCTGCTTCGTCAGGGCAGGTTGGATTTGCCCTCAGAATGTCTTCAATTCGTGGTTTCACGAAGAGACTGGAAGCTAAAAATAATCCCCTGGCTGAAGCAAGTTGGCACTGGCTTTGGACGGCAACTCATCAGTCCCGTCAGTGTCATAAACCTTTCAAATGCCTTGCCTCTCTTCCCCCTGACACATGCGAAGGTCAGGACGGGGAGCATCTTTTGCATCAAGCAATTGTTGGGATTTTGGTACTTTCGGCTTTGCAGCTCTGCCTTTGGCCTGCAGTTTCACCCCAAAGTCTGCCTTCTCTTCCCCCAGTCCTCGACAGGACAACTGTGGCTGTTCGATTTCGCTCTCTTGGGCGTCAATGTCACCGGCATCACTGGCATCGACTGTGGTGCGCATCATCATGCTCTTATCCTCAGAGGAGCCATACAGTCCTAACATCACACCTGGGGAAGATTGCCACTCGGCATCTGCACGTTCGTGTGGCAAGAAAAGTTCGCAAAGTTCATCCAGTCGACTCGCTAAGATGGAAAAATGCTGGTGACTCTGCTTTAAGATCTCTTCCTTGGTTGGCACTTCACACTTTGCATCCAACATGGCTGAACCTCACACATCCTGATGCTGGCAGACCCTCGCACGCCAACATTTAACACACCTATAGAAATGTGTACTGATGTGAATGCGGTGCCACACGCCAGCCTAAGTGAAAAACCTAAGGACACAGGGTTCAGAGCTGCCCAAATTCTCAAACCTCCAAAGGTCTAGGCTCCAAATCGCAAAACCGCGAAACGATCGACCGACAAGGACGACGGAACGTGCAAAGTCTGCAGCATGCACTAGCCCTTTACTGGAATATGAGTGACAGCTTGAGACCAAGCAGGCACAGGAAGGTGATCAGCCTTCCCTTCCCATCCATGACCGTAGCTTCGTTGCACACGGTAGGTCATGGATGCCGTGTGCCCCTGCTGAGCAAAGGAAAAAAAGGGTACAATCCGAAAGGATCCCTGTGACTACAAGAGGCACACACACACACACACACACGCCCCCCCGAGGGGAGGCGTAAAACCAAGGTTAAGGCAAATGTGCACGTGCGCGCGCGCGAGAGACAAAAGAGTGAAGACATAACAAGAGGACGGGACGGGACAAAGGTGTAGGTGGTTGTGATGAAAGGGGAACCAAGTGCACAGGGACAAACAATGAAACCCACCTGTTTAAAGCACATGTAGTTGTGCACGTACACGCTAAGGCCGGGACCAAGGTGCGCGCAAACGAAAGAAAGGATGAGATGAAAGACATGAAGACAGGAGGACATGAAAGAAAAGAGGAAAACAGATGTGTGTGAAGGGGAAAAATGAAAAGGGAACCAAATGGAGGGGACGAGAACCAATGAACCCAAACCTCATTAAAGAACCTCGTTGAACATGTACGTGCTGTGTGTACACCAAAGGTCCCGACAGGTTCCAATGAACCTTGAACAAGCTTTGGTCGCTGCGACGCCTGCCCGAAGGCTGCCACCTTTGACCGCTACGGTCACGTAAAGGCATAAGCCAGCTTGGAATTCAAAAATAAGACATAAGTGTGACTTCTCTCGGCCTAGGCCACCTACGCTCGCTGTGAGCTACTCTGGTCCCGGGCGCAGGGCCGAAGACGAACACCCGTTAAACGGGTCCACAGGGGCCACTCTGCAGGGTCACCCTGGGAGAGACACACTTATAGAAATGTGTACTGATGTGAATGCGGTGCCACACGCCAGCCTAAGTGAAAAACCTAAGGACACAGGGTTCAGAGCTGCCCAAATTCTCAAACCTCCAAAGGTCTAGGTTCCAAATGGCAAAACCGCGAAACGATCGACCGACAAGGACGACGGAACGTGCACAGTCTGCAGCATGCATTAGCCCTTTACTGGAATGTGAGAGTGACAGCTTGAGAACATCACAACCAAGCAGGTACAGGAAGGTGATCAGCCTTCCCTTCCCATCCGTGACCGTAGCTTCGTTGCACACGGTAGGTCATGGACGCCGCGCCCCTGCTGAACAAAGGAAAAAGGGGTACAATCCGAAAGGATCCC